CTTTGCTTCGCCAATATTAATTTGGCTCAACCAACCCCAATTCAGTACCAAATGAACCCTCAACAGTGCATTTGATTAATTTCTCAGAATTCTGGGGAACAACAACCTTGTCAACAATTCTAACCCGCGCACAACTACCTGTGTTCAGTTTGTACAACTTGAGTTTACCTCTAGATGTAGACAGTGTCTGTCGTCTCACATGTACCTCACCATCATAATCCTCTAGGAAATCCATGCCAAGAATACTACCCATGGTACCCAAGTCTGCAACGACAAACTCTTGTTGAAACGTCACACTTCCAACACAAAACTCAAAACAAGCAGAACCATGGACAACTATAGGCATACCATTGGCCGTAAAGAAATCCTTGTGAACTTTCTTCAAACTAATGCTCTGAAAACCCAGTTTAAGAACATCATCTTGTGACATAATTGAGACAGGAGACCCTGTATCCAACAACATTCTAGAGGTAAGCCCGTTCACCAAAACATCTGTATACAAACATTTCTGAGGTTTCAAAGAATGTAAAACAATTTGTTCCCGTGAAACTGATTCACTGGAGCAAGTTGACAAAGATGACTTCATCGGTTTCCCTTCACCAGATAAAAATAATTTTTCCTCTAACCCATCACCATTGAGTACAGATTGCTTCACCAAGGGATCAACACTATTCCCCATCCACGAAGGTAAATCTACCTGCACTCCGATATCAACAGTAAAAACAGTTTTTTCCACAGAAGCTACATCTTCATCTGGCCTACAAATTTTCCCAACATCGGCTGAGACCTCGGCCTCGACCCCAGCCTTTACTAGTTTCCCATATCTGTTTCCTTGATATCTGACCGATCAAGCAAACCCAGTTTTGATAAGTATGGACACCTATCGCGAAAGTGACCTGATTGATTGCAGACATAGCAGGTATTAGGCCTGGCACTTCTTAAGCTACGTTTAAACTTTTCCAAGCGATCATCTATTAACTTTGTGACTGCCTCCAGTGTCAACCCACCACTATCAAGTGGTTGCCTAGTTTGGTTCACTCCTGCCACCCTGTCTAAACTTTCAGGTTTCTTTTTCCTGCTACCATCAACAGCTTCGAACTCCATGGCATATGAAATGGCGTTTTCCAGCGTTTGTGGATGTGCAAATGTAACATGTTTTCTCATGTCAAAGCTATGCAGGCCAGTTAAAAACTGATCAATCAAATGTACCTCTAGTGATGAAGGGGTGCTGGTAGGGTAAGCTAAATTTGCTAGTCTACGGAGTTCAAACCCATAATCCAGTACGGCCTCGTCGCGACCTTGACGACGATTTCGAAATTCACTTCTGTAGGCTACATTCCGCTCAACCGGATTAAAACGTTGACTCAAAGCATTTTTCACTGCCTGATAACTGCTGAGTTGCCCTAACGTAAGACTACTCAAAAGTTTTTGTGCTGCACCTCTCAAACACATACTAAGTTGTTGAGCCTTTTCATATTCTGTCCACCCATTCCATGAAGCTACTTGTTCAAAATGAACAATAAAATCCTGCCACTCACATGATATTCCATCAAATCTTTCAGGGACAACTTCACGATGAGATAACCTAGACTTTTCAAACCCCGGCAAAACAGTTCCGACTGGATTTGGTTGTCTTAAACAATTCAAACCTCTAGAATCCGAAAAATCAGTATGCAACCTGTCCTGTATTTCTGGTGTACTGAAATGTACAGAACGGCTACCACTCATGATTCCATCTGATATATGACCAAACAACCGATGATCAGCATTCTGACGTGCACCATAAACTGATGCTAACTGTGTATCCCTACTTATCTGTCTTAAACCGACACCATTTCCTATTTGAGAAAGAGGTGAATACGGCGTAGAAGTTGGATACATATTTTGCCGAAATGGGGGCAACTCACTTGTCAAATCGATAAGTGGTTCCTCCAAATTAGCACCGGCACTGCCACGAAACTGACCATCAGTCTCGGACAACAAAGAACAATTTAGACCTAAATCTTCAGACATGTTTTTGGTAGACTACACTGAGAAAAATTGGAAAAAAACAAACCCTTATCCTGGTCACGGCACCAAATCTGTAATAGGCGCCTAGCGCGTGAGTGATGTAAAATAGACGCCCAGTGACAGCAGAACGTTGTATATGTGTGACAAGTGTCGGTTGGTTACTGAAGTAAAATGCTTTGCGTTGTGTTTGATAATTGGTCTCTTTACGTGGTCAGTACATCTTGTCTGCAAGTTCTGTGGGAATGGTTCCTGGCGGGTTCTCCCAATTCAACTCAATTCAAGTCAGAACAAAAGAATATTTAGGTTTCCATTCTTGTTTATTGTGAAAAAAACCGTATTAGTCTAACAAGCCTACATATATCTACCTACCTAAATCCTACTTAAATACAGTTTAACTTTGGTTTATGTCCACCCCCTAATACCTACTCCCGAAAACAACAAAACAAAACCTACAACAAAACAAAACCTACTCATTCCTATACTATTTCTCCCCCTTCCCAAGCTAACACTAAATCAACACGACATCCCTAAAACAACAAACAATATGTGGAAACTTAAACTGGTCTTGATACAAGACTCGAAGTCGCTAGACACTTACCCGATGCGGGTATCGGACGACTGACGATTCCCTACCTAGGGTAGGCCTATATAGTCGACATCGGGCCACGTGACTGGGGAAATCCAGATCTCGGCCAATGCGCACGCTCCTTGCATCTCTGCCCCTCAAGATGGCGGAGCATGCAAGAAGCGTGACATCGTCCTGTCTCCCCGGCCACGAGGTCCGCATGGGCCTAGGGCTTCTACATATTTGACTACAAAGGTAGGTACTACGTCAGCCGCCCACCCAACTACCTAATCTACCCCACCCACTATGAAACTTTTGTATTTAATAAACTTTTATACCCCGAGACGCCCACACAGGCAAGAAATCGATGTTCCATGCGATCCGGACGATGAGATGGGGTTACGTGAGACACAAACAATATCCTTCTTCTCGGAGGCGTAAACATACACAGAGCCATCGATAATTAACTTGTTCTGCCTCATCTTCACCCGTTTTTTTAGCGTTGCGGGCCTCAACAAACCAAGGTGACAGGGCTCGCCTGTCCTCTGGAACTCGTCGTGAGAAATCCTCCGTGACCCGCTGATTGCTACCTCGTCGTAGTTTCTCACGAGTACGCATGAACACATTACTTTTATAAACGACATTTAATAGACAGTGCATGTTGCTCTTGTGGATAACAACTACCCGTTATAACCTGGATAATTTTTTGAACGGAAACAAAGAATTCACTCCTTGTGTACACCAGAAAATAGTTGAATCCGTCCATGATTATATCATCAAGACACAACCTTCAAATGTTCACAGGAAAATACTGAAATTAACTCAACAACCTTCTCGTGATTGATTTATATTCCTACAATAGCTTGTTAGACACACACAACTGTAACTCTCTAATTATGACTACTTAGAGAATAGTTGTATTTGATGTAATCTGTATATATTTATATGTACTTAAAAATATATTTCATTTTATATTTTATGTTGCATGGGAGCGGTGTTAACATAAGCAGTAATACTTCACCAATCCCAATTCATTTTCATAAATAATAATGAAATATGTTTAAACCAAAATGACTTTCAAACTTCATAAGAGTCAATAAAAATGTGTTATCATAATTACATATTCTTCTGAATAAAACAAATATTCAATGAACTATTTCTTCTGTGTAAATATAATCTTTGATAATGTATTTCATTAATCAACTCATCAATGAACTATGCCTCCTGTGGGTACTGGTCTGGGCTGATCCCACTTTCATTGTAGGGATGTGGAAACACCACCTATGTGCACTGAACCATTAACTAATGTGTCTCACAACTGGGAGTTCTCACAAATGGGAGGACACCGTCTGTTAGGATGTAGATAAAATTACATACTAATTATAAACATTAGTTCTCTTACAGAAGTCGTCAGGGTAGATGAGTGATTGAGTTTAGTTTTACGCCGCACTCAGCAGTATTCCAGATATATGATGGCAGTCTGTAAATAATCAAGTCTGGACCAGACAATCCAGAGATCAACAACATGAGCATCAATCTGCGCAATTGGGAACCGATGACATGTGTGAACCAAGTCAGCGAGCCTGACCACCCGATCGCCTTAGTCACCTCTTACGACAAGCATGGGCTACTGAAGATCAATATTCTAACCACATTTAGTTGGACTAACCCCTTCACATATCTCAATATGGCAATGTGGGGAATATTGATTCTATTTGGATTTATACTATTTACAATGAATCAAAGAATTGGTCACCTGCGAGTCCAACTATTAGCCCGAGGTATCACTGCGGTGACAGTATCAACCACATCAGATATATTCGTCTGGACACCCTCAGTAGTACACCTGGGTATTGTACCCCAAATCCGCCATTTTGAATTTTTAATGAGACACCTGGATGAGGTAATTAAACACCTGTGTCACCTCATTGGTGACCCGTTGCTATGCACATGGTCTATTTTTGGATTCCAAAGTGTTAGGGAGATTTGGTTGACCTCATCACGGTGACGTAGAACGTTCTAGAAGGTATCACGTCATTTAGCAGGTAGGCAATATAAGGCCCCCCTAATTAGTCCTATGCCATTCCCATCTCAATCGCCAGAGAGAACGTACAGATCTTATGCTCTTCACGCTACTGATTCTGTTGGTTGTTTACCTTGAAGATAGAAAATGGAAGCAGCTCACCGTGATATCCTGAGGAAGAATCACTCCGATCTCGAGACTGACTGACTGCGTTTAGTTTTATGCCGCTTTTAGCAATATTCCAGCAATATCACGGCGGGGGGACACCAGAAATGGGCTTAACACATTGTGCCCATGTGGGGAATCGAACCCGGGTCTTCGGCGTGACGAGCCAACGCTTTAACCACTAGGCTACCCCACCGCCCCTCCGATCTCGAGACAAGTATACAGCATGTAGAAGTGATGGTCGACAAACTGGTGCAGTTTGAAGTGCTTACTTGCCTCATGAAAGCTGAGATTATTGAGAAACCAGGGACGTCTTTTGATCGGGTCAGGGAACTACTGTCCATGTTACCTAGACAAGGCCCTCAAGCTTACACCCTATTCTGCAAAGCTTTGGAGGAATGCGGAGAGATCCAAGCCCTGACAATGCTTGGACTAGAGACTCCAAGTGACAAGTTCCCCCGGAGTCATCTGGACTTAGGAGGTGAAGTGTTTGTAACTGCCAAGTCTTGGAATAATCTACTGAACATCCACATTAGGACGTATGATGTGTATTCCAGTGGCAGAAGTTATCCTACTCGTCGTGGCATCGTGCTCACCTTGAAACACTGGTTAGAAATACCAGGTGTAAAGCTGTCAGGGAAGGAAGAAATCGAGCCTATGTTCACCTAGGAGCTAACATGTATGCCACTTTGGAGCTAAATGGTGGTGTGGATCTACGACAGTGGGAGAAAAATGAACAACTGGGAGTCGTACCTACTGCTAAGGGTATCTTGTTGTCCATTCAGCAATGGCAGAAACTGAGAGACTGTTGTGATGTGATGTCAGACTTTGTGCCAGAACTGAAGGACATGGTTCCCTGTATGGCACAAGAGGATCATCAAAACCAAATGGGGTACCTCCAGTGTTCCTTCTGTAATCCAAATGACTACAGTCAGTGGGTGTAAACCCATTCTTGTTTGGACTCTTGAACAGTCAACATGTTTTTCGCATTACTGAGTGGTATGCTCTCTATATGTATTGTAAACAATGGTACCGTGACATTCAAGAAGCAGTGGAAGCTGTGATGGAGGAAATATCTCTCTGTGTGTAAATATTGTCTTTTGTGAATACAATGTTGCATTGTATTTTCGTCTTGGGTTTTGCTTAAATAGCATGATGCATGTGAGTAATGTTTAGTTGTGTTTGAGATGGCACCTTGGGAAGACTACTTGAATAGGATCTATTATAACCCACGTGGTCAACGTATGGGTAGTTGCATATTAATCTCGTACGTCACACGAGTGTCGTATCGCGTTGACCTGTGTCGTAACGACTTGACCTGAGATTGTAACGATTTGATTGGATAACCGATGGCCTCTCAATTAGGTCACATTCTGACGTAACTATTTTTTCATTCATAACAAACACGTGAATTCATTCATTCTACAACTTAAATGCATTGTGGGAATGTAAACATTGCGAACGTTGCCGTGTCGCTGTTTAATTGTGAGTTGAACTGAGACATTATACTTGGGGAAAAACATAAACGCATTGTTTCCACCAGTGATGTTAGCCGAATGAAGCAACTGGAAACCAAGAAACGAGTAGTTTACTGTAGGAGGCTGTACGAGCCGATGACAACTTAAGCTGGTCAAAGAGACGATGGCTGAGAAGGCCTACGAAAAGCCAACATTGACAATGTTATGTCATTTTCCATTGGTTGCTATTTTTAGACGGCCGCGCTTGTCCTTCATCGGAAGACGTCCAAAATACATTTTGTATCAGATGCTTGATTGGCATTTTAGCAGATGATATTTGATGAACATAGAGATTTTTTCTGGGTTACATCTTCTTTTCTTTTCTTTTTTCATCGCGACGGAATCCAGTTTGACCAATCCGGATGTGACGTCAAATAAACGAGCAGAGGGTTTTAAATGGCAGCCTATACCGGACTTGCGTTCAATAGGCAAAACGTTACGGAACATTCGGGACGTTTTGTCTGTTGGACGACCCGTTTCCCCGTAACGCTACGTTAAACCGCGAACAGTCTGACGAGGTTTCACGCGAAGTGACCAAGATGGCGGACGATGCATCAGTGTCATCAGTCGGTACATTTTACAAGTGCTCCGTGTGTGGCATCTTCTTTGATACGATGGAAGCTTTTGTTGAACATGAGTGTGGTGAGTCCTGAAAACTTTGGAAGTACTTATACAATGGTGGTAACTTGATATTACCTATGAACCCAACGAAATCGCCGTTGATACATGCCACCATTATGGCCAAGTAAAAAAATGTCTTGTTATATAGGATTCAGCACTCTACTTTGCAGCACCAATTAGATGTTATCATGCTATGTCTGCATTTTACACGGTCAGTGTTCCCAAATATGTGCATGTTGCAATATGTTTCAGCTTCAACTACTGAGAAAACTGCAACACCGACTGAAATCAGTGTGATTGATGAACTCGGGACTGACACTGACAACGTGGAGAATGAAGTGCACAGTAAGTGATTCAGAAGGAAAATGCAATGGACATAATAGACCACATACATTGCAGTCAGAGTAAATATTGTTTGCAAATAGATTACGTTTATATTATTTTAAGACGGTTAAAAAGAACAACAAACAAGTTATTTGTAAATACTGCTCCACAGAAGGAGATCAAGTAAAATATAGATCTAGTTCCCTATACATGTCGCATAGTATTAATGTAGTACACTACTTCTTTACAGCTTCTACCCACTGCACACGGGGGTACTCTGCGACCATCCTCCTAATTGAAACCTACAGAGATCTTCAATATATTTTCAAATCTTCTGCCTACAAAAAGATTGATGCTTGGAAACGAGTGGCCAAAGAGTTACAAAAACAGAATTATAGTTATACCGCAGATCAGTGTGACAAAAAAATGAGAAGCTTGAAGTACAGGTAATTTTTTAGATGTCATTTGTCTAACTAAATAGATGGTAAACCTTGTTGTCATCTTTGCTAAAAGTGATGCATTATGTTAGTGTTCATTTTACAAGATGATAATTCATATAAATGTATTATCGGTAGGTAAATGACACTTCAATTGAAGAGTCACAGAAATTGTTTTTGTTGTTTTTTAAATCTAACTGGAAAAAATGTTTAGTGTATTCACTTTAGTGTTAAAATGATAACTTTATATTTTGATCAGACTGATAATGCCAGTGTCTGTTATTAAATGTATTCAGTAAGTGTACGTCTTTATTCAGACACAAGGTAATAGTGGACGGAAACAACAAAACTGGAAGGGGAAAACGGACTTGGGAGTTTTTCGATCTTATGGAAGATCTGCAGGCTGGCAACCCATCAGTCCGGCCAACCATAACAGTCTCTTCACTTGAAGGTATGTGCAAATGTTTCTCTGAAAGACAAATTAAGAAGAATGTCTATAACCACTATGGGGTAACGGAATTCGTCACAGGTTCATTATAATTTTGCATGCCACAAATATAATGCTAATACAAATGATGGAAACAAAAGTTTATCGATTGAAAGAATAAACATGTCTTCATTATATTTACTATTGTTGTTCACATCAGTCGTATAGTGTAGTGTCTTGTTTGTGTATAATTGTGCAGGTGAAAAGACCAAAGAAACAACTTGTAGTGCTCCTTCAGCTACTAGTACTCCTTCAGCTTCAGAATCTCCCTCGAGATCCTTAGCATCTACATCGGCTGAGACACCATCTAAGGCTGGTCGGAAGCGACAAGCACCAGAATGGTTTCAGCAGTTTACAGAGGAAAACAAAAAACAGTTGTCCCAGTTGGTCATGCAACAAGCAACAGCAAATGAAGTAGCGAAAGAAAGAAATGAAATTCTAAAGGCTATCTTAAACAAAAAGTAGAGGAGTATGTCTCTATCATGTCTATTTTCTGGTTCCTGATGGACATTTTTTAGCCATACCTACTCAAAGGCTAAGGGTCATCCAAGCAGTAGTTATCATTTGCAAGAACGTTAAATATTTGCAGCTTCCAGTTTTTGGTTTTATTTTGATCCTTGTGAATACCAATGTTCATGCCGTACCTGAGACTTATCGTTTTTTGCTGTTTGAGTAGTATATTTTCAGCAAACCGTAACAGTGACCTTTGTTACAATTTAGCAAGCCATGCTGTGGACATTACTTAACCAGTGGATTTTCCAGTCTGAGGACATGTTGAATACCAAAGTGTTTATTTATTTTGTTCATTTATTTTGTTTAACAGATCATGTTTTGCTGTTGTCATGTTGGACCAAGTTGATGTAAAGAATGAACAAAAAGTGCCAAAATTTTATTTTATTGTTTTATTTATTTTAATAAATAATTTAAAAAGAAGATTGTTATCAGTTTGTCTTTATTATAACATTGAGGCATGACAGTGTCACCATGAGTTAAGGGTCTTGAAAACACAGATTAAATCTACAGGAGAAGGGCAATGTCATTCCTCTTTGCAACAGCATCAGCTGGCAACCCCTCGAGTAGTGCCTCTTCATCGATCAACTCATCTGCCTGGTGATCGTCATCACCAATAATGTCATCATGAAACATTTCCCTCATGAGAATAAAATTATGCAACACACATGCTGCTACAATGAAGTTGCACATTTCCTCTGTTAGCTGCATGTCAAGATACTTCAGTCTCCGAAATTTACATTTCAGGAGTCCTATAGCTCTTTCAACATCCACCCTTGTTGATGCATGGCATTTGTTAAACTTCTTTTCTGCAAGGGATACATGTCCATTGTCCTTGAATGGAACCATGATGTACGGAGCAAGTGGGTAGGCTGAATCACCAATAAGATGGAAGTCCGGTGGCAAATATCCTTGCTCAAGTTTGCGTCTTAATGGGCTGTTCTTGAAAACTCTGCAGTCATGAACCGACCCCGGCCAGCCTACATAAATGTCGGTGAACTGCAGTTTGGCGTCGCAAACGACCTGTAACTGCATGCTCGAGTAACCCTTCCTGTTGATGAATGCATCTCTATTACAGGATGTACCAGAGATTGGAATATGAGTACCGTCAATGGCACCAATAACTTTAGGGAATCCACACCGTTTAGAAAATCCTTCAGCCACAGCCCCTAGTTCATTGAGAGTTGGCAACTTTATATATTCATTGACTGTTGAAGAAATTGCTCCACAGACACTGAGAGCAATAACATGCAGGGATCCTTTGCTCAAACCAAACCTGTCGGCAATACCACGATAGGATTCCTGATTGGCAAGTAGCCACAAAGTTGACAGTAGCTTTCGTTCTGCAGTCAGTGTTCTCTCGGGTAACAGTGGTGCAATCCGTTCACAAAGGTCCTACAACAAGAAACAGCACTCATACTACTGGCTCAGTATACTGTTTAACCCTTTCCATGCTGGCTAAATTATTATTCTATGGGATCTGCCAGTAATATTACCCTACCAGTATGGAAATAGTTAAGCTTCAACTAGTAAGATTTGTTAACCCAATTTAATGCAGTTGGTTTCCTCTTGTCCAAATAGTATTTGGCATATTCTAAATAAACTCCAGACTGGAGGATGCATATATTAAACTAAATGTGTTTTTTTTATGATGATGATGATGAATTCTTTTGTCCGAATAAAATTAGTGTCACTAGTACCTGAAACGTCGATCTTTTCATCCTGAAATATAATCTGAAATCGAAGTCCCTGTATTCTGGAATTACTGTTTCAACGTAGCCCTTCACACTTGCTGTTTGCTCTTGAGTTGTCAAACACATACCCAGCGTTATAGTTGATGTTAAGGATGATATCCTTGCAATGTTTACAGCAGGTAGCAGGCAGGTTCCCTCTGCTAATTCACTGAGAACTACCCGTTCTTCTAAAGATAACGCCATTTTGCAAAACGTTTGCACAAAACTCTGCGTTCATCAGGCGAACAGAATGTTCTTACAGAATGTCGCAAAACGTTTTAGGCTATTGAACACAATGCGGCTCCTAGCTTTGGCGAACGTTAGCGCGAGCAAAGGGAGCCGGAAACCAGCTTAATGACAACTGACATGCATCGTGACGTCGGTTACCATGGCAGTGACGTCATTAGTGTGACGTCATGCAAATATTGTACTACAGTACAAAACTCTTCCGCAACCTCTTTATGAATCCGGTTTCGGTTTGAAACCAAAAACATAACAAAAATACTCTATTTTGTCAATTTAAATGCATGTAAGACGTGGGTAATAAATAAAATACCACACTCGGTCTCATTACATACGAATTATACGAAACTCGTGACCTTCCTATGTTATCTGACCTCGCTTTCGCTCGGTCAGATACCATAGGAAGGACACTCGTTTCATATAATTCGTATGTAATGAGACCTCGTGTAGTATTCTCTATTTACGATCCAGAACATCCTGGTAGTTATGCTGGACCCCAGAAGTTATATGAAGCCGTGAACGCCGAGGGTCAGTTTCAAATTGGTTTACATCGAATCAAGAAATGGCTCAAAGTTCAGGAAAACTATACGATGACTCATCAAGTTAGGAGAACATTTCCTACGACATTCTTACATGAGGCTGGATAAGATTTTATATGCTCCATGCTGAGGGGAAAGGAGATCCTTATCATTCCATTGTACGTGGAGGAGACAAATCAGCCATGATGTCTGTCGATCGATATTTGGAACAAGTTGTCGAACAGGCCAAGGTTCTTATTCAGATCCCCCTATAAAAGGGGGAACTAAAACTGGAAAACAGTTCCTCCCAGAACCGCAAGCTGTGCACATCTAAAAAAGAGGGCTCTGGCGATAACTTGGATATACCCCCTTAAAGAAGAAATAATGGCTTCATACACTGAAAATTGATGCGTCGAAGCTAACGGTGATGAATTTAATCTCTTCACTATACCTCCTACCCATACCTCGGTGGATAACCAATATTATATGACCTACAGACCTTCGTCTCAAATTACAACCGATTCCAGTCCCATTGAATTAAACATCTCAGGACAAGGGGTAGATTACATTGACTTGAGGAGAACTCAATTACATGTACAGGCCAGGATACTCAAAGTAGATGATACAGACATTACACAGATGAAAAAATAGGACCAGTCAATCTATGACTTCAAAGTCTGTTCTCTCATTACGAGCTCGACCAATATTTATCCTTACAAGAGTTATATAACCCACTCCTAATGCATGAAACAAGGGTCTGTTTCAAAGATATGAATACTCTAAGCATGGAACCGTGGATATATGAGGACCTCTCTATGAAGATTTGATGGATTCAAACTTGATTAATGGCGTGGATTTACAAATACGAATGTTCCACACCCCTGCTGCATTTAATCTCATGTCTGGAGAAGACTCACCCAGTTACAAGGTGAAAATAGAAGATATCTATTTGAGGATGTGTAAGATTCGACCCAGCTCAGCCATCACCACCAGTCATGCCAAAGTTCTCGCTCATCACACTGCAAAGTATCCTTTCACCAAAAGTGACATAAAAACTGTATCTTTACCCCAAGGACAGCTGAACTACACAGTGGATAATTTGTTTCAAAACAAGGTCCCCAACAAAATCGTTGTAGCGTTGGTATCTGCAGAAGCCGTCAATGGAAGTTACACCAAATCTCCCTTTAATTTCCAAATGTATAATCTCAGTTCTATTGTTCTTTATGTGGATGGAGAATCACTACCAGGGGAACCCCTACGGGTAACTGATAAACAGTACATTGCAGCTTATAATACTTTGTTTGAAGGAAGAGCATCCAGAGGGTTGAACATCAACAGGCACGACTTTAAGGGCTGATATGCTCTGTATCAGTTTTGTTTAGAACCCTATCATTTGAAAGAAGACTACTTGGATCTGATAAAAAGAGGAAGCGTATGGCCACACCTTCAGTTTAACACGGCATTACCCGAGACAACAAATCTGTTTCTCTATTCTGAGGATATTCTCATGCTGACAGTGGATAACGCGAGACATATATTGTACTCTACACCATGAATAAGCTACAATTGATGTGTGCCCTCTATGCGGATGGAATCAAAAAACAGTTAAATGTTAAAATATACTGAACAGCAAAAGAAACGCAAGTTTCGAAAAAATGAAATTTCATGAAGGTAAGCGTTCATGTATATGGAACGTTCATGGTAAAGTGACGTAATGATCCCAGATGAGATGATGTCATGCAATTTGACGTCCATACGAACCATTCACACAAGCACACCAACAGTGCAGCAAAACCATAATTTTAGCACATGCGTCGACGTTTCTGGATGGAAAGCATGCATTTAACTCTAGGTATTCTTTATAAAGGTTTGTTTAAAAACACTTGTAGAGGGGTATAAACAAAGCCCGCAGCCTAGACTCCCAGTTGTCCGATTTCTATTTGTGGAAGTCGCGGTGACTGAGCGGGTTAGGCGGCTGACTTTGTGTGCTGGCGACTTGGTGCCTGACTCTGAGGGTGTGGGTTCGAAACCCGGATGGGACTCAACCTAAAAAAGTACTAGAATCTGTAATTTACTAAGAAAGTATCATCCCAAATATAACATGCTGAACAAAGAAACAGTCACCAAATGTGTTTATTGAAACGCCTAGCTAGAAATGGCTTTCAAGGATTGAATGTCCCCGGTCCCCGGTGAAACTCTATGAATCAGTTGTTTAAACAGGGCGGTGATGAATGTCCCTTGTAGGAATAAATATTTTGGTTGAAGGATTGAATTGGGCATGTGTCATTAAAATGTCGAAATGTCTAAAAAATGTCATCGTTTTCAACAATTTCTAGTAGGTAGATCATTGACAAGACTGTCTTAAAGTTGTTGGTTGGGGTGAAGTGATCTTACGAGTGATACTATACGTAAATATGATTGAGAGTAGTGAGTGAGTGAGTTTAGTTTTACGCCACACTCAGCAATATTCCAGCTATATGGCGGCGGTCTGTAAATAATCGACTCTGGACCAGACAATCCAGTGATCAACAGCATTAGCAGCGATCTACGCAGTTGGGGGGCGGTGGGGTAGCCTAGTGGTTAAAGCGTTAAATAACTGTTCATCAATCAATCAGTCTACTGGGGGTTCTGATTGGGAACAGAAAAGTCCAACTATTATGGACCGGAAAAATGCGGATTAGAATTGGTCTTCAGCAGCCATGCTTGTCTTAAAAGGCAATTAATGGGATCGGGTGGTCAGGTTTGCTGACTTGGTTGACACATGTCATCGTGTCCCGATTGTGTAGATCGATGCTCATGATATTAATCACTGGGTTGTCTGGTCCACATTCGATTATTTACATACTGTCATCATATAACAAACGAACAACAAGAAAGCATTGGAAAGTTTACATTTATTTTCAGGGAGTTCCAAATGTTGACAAATTGAAATATTCACAGTAAACGTTGATTGGTCATCTACACCGCATTCAAAGTGAAACGACACTCTTAATTCTTAGGCTGTATTTGCATTTGCTTCAGATTTGATAATATGGTGATATAGACTTACAGATATGCTAAAGACCTGAAGTCGTGGGCTTGAAATCCCAAGACCTCACTCACTCACTCACAAACTCACTCACTCACACAACTCACCCAGGACGCAGGACGCCAAGTACTGATAACCATCTGATTTCTCAAAGGAAAAGTTCAAGCTCGTTTGGGACTGCCACATGGCACCTTGTGTCTTTTCTATGGCTTTCTAATGATATATTAGTTGCCTAGGCAATATGTTTAAAAACTAATGCATCCATTATTCTAATTTCAATATAGGTGCACGTCTGGCATGGCACGTCTCACTCACTCACTCACGCACTCACTCACTCACTCACGACAGAATGCTTTTTAGCCCATGTGTCAACAGTCAGCATCTCAGGCGTCGGTTCTTCAAACACAGTGGACAAACGCCCAGCCCAGTCAGCTAGATATTGCTTCAGCTTTTCCTCCGTCCCATTCTCGACACCAAGTGAAACCTGAGGGGTCAGGACGTCGAATCCGACCATGTTCAAAGTCCCAACCTGTAAAATACATCATAAACCTCGTAAATAGAGAATCTCACCCAAGTGTCTTCTGATATTAAATATATCAACACGATTAAAGTTACAAATATTCGAGGCTTGCCCAGGACATTTTACTTTAATCAACGAGTGATCATATATTTGATATCAAAAGACACGAGGGTGAGATTCTATTTATCATAAAAAAACACTCTTCTTTATTTTTCAATGAAAACTGTACGTCTGTGAATATGGTACTGTCATTGGACTTGCAGTGCAGTGATGTCATAGCATTGTGACGTCATCAAGTTCATGACGTCATAGCATTGTCAGGGGATTGCACAAAATCTAATTTCAAATCTATCTCCAAGGAGATATCGTTTGATCTCAGACAAGCAATATATCCTCAGAATTCTCGTAAAAGACCTCTCTACCTTATTCCCGGATTGAACCCGGAGAGTATAGCCAGTTTATTTGTAGTTTAACGCCGCACTGAGCTTTATGGCGGCGGTCTGGACCAGACGATCCGGTGGTCAACAGCATGAGCATCGATCTACGCAAGTGGGATACGATGACACATGGTCAACCAAGTCAGCGAGCCTGACCACCCGATCCCGTTAGTCGCCTCTTACGACAAGCGTGGGTTGCTGAAGACCCGGATCTTCACGTGTATTAGAACGCACACATCTGCCAGCCCACTCTATAATCAGAGCATTTAATTGGGGTCCGATTTTGTTTAGCGGTTACAATAGATATCAATGTCTAGAATACCGTGCATAAATGCTACACAGAGTTAAATCTAGAGTCACTCCGTTTAACAATTGGTTTTCAGCAACCCACGCTTGTAAGAGGCAACTAACGGGATCGGGTGGTCAGGCTCGCTGACTTGGTTGACACATGTCATCGTATCCCAATTGCGTATATCAATGGTCATGATGCTGATCACTGGATTGTCTGGTCCAGACAGCCGTCATATCAACTGACCGACAAAAGAAAGTACACGTATACCAAAAGTTACCATTTCTCAAATCGTAAAGAAATATTTTTGTAGGTAAATTATACACTGAAACATGTCGCCCCAACGTAGTAATTTGATACCTGCAGTGAAATTCACGTGCACGTCGGGAATAAAACGTCGAAGTGATCAACTGTATAAACAATGATTTTGGGCCTCTGTCAGAGATCCACATGCACTAAAGGTATAAAAGTTAGTGTGCGGACAGGTTACACATGCAGTTTGAAAATGATCACGTGGTCACAGATATGCCACGACTATCAGCAGTTGAACGTGAGAGGATCATAGGTATGCTCTAGATGGGGTCGACACACGCCAACCTTCGGCTGCACCCGTGTAGCCGTCTCTAGACTGCTGCAACGTTACAGGCAGACGGGGCAGACACAGGGCAGACCAAGATGTGGGAGACCGCGAGTAATAACACCAGCTGAAGACCGGCATTTGAGGACGTTAAACCTGAGAAACCGTTCGCTGACGGTAACGTCATCAGCGTCAAATTCCCTTGATCACCGTGTCAGTCGATACACGGTGGCTTGAAGTCTTCGGGCAGCAGGTATCAGAGCCTACAGACCCTTCAAAGGACAGGTGTTGACCCTTGAACACAGACGTCACAGATTGCGTTGGGCCCGAGTTGTTCGCCGTTGGCAGCGATGAGAGGAACAACGTGAACGTTCTACAGTGGCCAGCGTGTTCTCCAGACATGTCCCCGATCGAGCACATGCGGGATGCACTAGACAGAAACGCCCTAACCCACCACAGAATAGACAGCAACTTGCACAAGCCCTCCAGGACGAATGGCGTCGCATACCACGTGACTTGTCCGGCGTCTGACGTCTTCGGCTAGAAGGAGGCTGCGTGCCTGTATTGATGCAGGGGGTGGACATACAGGATACTAAAGTGATGGTAGTGAACATTTCTTGTGTGTAACTCAGTACCTGCTTATCCTCTATATGTTTGAAAACTGTTTTTCAGGAATCCCAGTAAACTTGCACATGTCTGACGCCACGTGTTTCTGTAGTATGCGTGTGATATTTATCTCAGGTTGAGTATAGATGTTGTTAACACCCCTGCATTATGTTTGTGTGTCTAGGTAGTCTTGGTCAATGATAATGACCTCTTGAAAACCTTGTATACTTTCTTTTTGCCGGTCAGTTTAGTAGGAATATTGCTGGATGCATTGTTAAACAGCAAACCAACCACGACAAGCATGGGTTACTGAGGATCAATTCTAATCCGGATCTTCACGGGTGCTAAATGAAAGTACTGGAACCAGTTACTGTTTTACCGGGGCGGTGGGGTAGCCTAATGGTTAAAGCGTTGGCTCATCTAGCCGAAGACCCGGGTTCGATTCCCCACATGGGTACAAAGTGTGAAGCCCATTTCTGGTGCCCCCCGCCGTGATGTTGCTGGAATATTGCTAAAAGCGGCGTAAAACCAAAACTCAGTCAGTCAGTCAGTTACTGTTTTACCACGTATACATACCTGCATTGGTAAGAGCATGGCTTCCAGGGACTTCACGGGTATGCTCGGAGATCCGGTAGTAAAGGACAGTAGCGCCCTTTTACCCTGGAATCAGAAAAATAGATAGATCTTATCTCGGTTTAAGGCTTAAACCAGTCAAATCTAGGAGTTTGATGTTTGAATGAATCATAGCAAAGCCTTTGTGCCCCTACTTTATAGGCTGGCTGGCAGTATATACTGGCTGAGTATATTAAGGCAGTTTATGACACTTCTTGGGCAGTGGGACCTGGTAGGTAGCGTTAGCTCGTCACACCGAATACCCGGGTTCGATTCCCCAATGTGTGGGGCCCAGTTTTGGTGTCCATCGCCGTGATACTAATTACAAGTAGTTCATCTTACTTCTGGGGCTGCGGGATAGCATAGTAGGTAAAGCGTTCACACCGAAGACCCGTGTTCGATTCCCTACCTACAATGAGTCAGTGGCGGTGGGATAGCCTAGTGGTTCAGGCGTTCACTCGTCACGCTGAAGACCCGTGTTCCATTCCGTTCAATGTGTTAACCCCATTCCTGGTGTCCACCGACGTAATATTGCTGGAATATTGCTGAAAGCAGTGTAAAACCGTACTCGTTCACTACAATCAATGAACCGCATTACTGGTGTCCTCCGACGTAATATTGCTGGAATATTGCTGAAAGCAGCGTAAAACCCTACTCACTCCCTAACTCACCCTTACCCTCAAATCACCTTCTTCGTAGAATCCTGTTTTGCGGACGAACCCCGAAATGACCTGGATGACCCTGTCCATCCAACCCTTCAGTATCGCGGGAAATGAGCTCCAATACAGAGGGAACTGGAACACGACCAGGTCCGCCTTCTCCACCTTGTCCACCTCCTCCTGGACATCCCTGCTTACATCAGATGGACCTGAATCTGAAACTGAATGGGGCAGCGGATTTAAACACGCGATCCTCCGCCCTCATCCTGGACATTCCTGTATACATCAGCTGAGCCTGAATCTGAAACTGGTGCAGGACCCGCTCGTCTTTATTCACTTCTGTCTGAGGGACAGAGGGTGAACGTGAGGTAAAGTGAGGTGAAATTGGGTTTAACGTCGTGCTTGAGAATATTTCGCTCATATGACGATGTGCATGCGTGTGTATGTGCGGCTGCTTGTACTAGCCCAGACTTAAGATGGTTTTATAGTGCAAGCCCACTGAGATACCATCACAGTGAAGCATGAATACCCCACTCAGACACATTGTACTGACCCCGAGCCGACCAGTCCTTGTTGTACCCATTAATACCGAGCACCAGGCAGGGACCAACAAGTACCATATTTGGTATGACGCGGTCGGGGATCGAACCCGCGACCTTCCGTTCTCCGGGCGGACGGGAGAACGTGAGAGAGACGGAGAGACTTATACACACATTTATTGTCCATGACAGGGAATACGAGTTGAAAGGGTCCAGTCAAGGGAAGATCTGAAGAGCAGTCAACAGCGAGTGGAACATTCCAGACTGGTTTTGTACCAGAGCGTTCTAGAAGTACCGTTTCACCCCTACACCAAACCTGTTTATATACAAACCTGAAAAATCTTCAAGTCGAACCAGTGGATCAAAGTTCATCTTGTACAGGTCGGACACGACGACGTTGTGGCCTTCTGACGACAGCACTTCGACAGCCTTTCGCAGGAGGGCGCCATTGAACGATTCAGGTTTGGGGTGAGCGTACACAATCAGCACATTCTTACCTCCCTTTGATGATGTGTTACCTGCAGTCGCCATTCTGTTGGTAAAAGAGGCAAGTGGTTGATTATAGAATGTGAATATGAGAGGAATTAATGACAATTTTGCAACATTACTGCGAACAAGGTTGACCTTTAGCAGCAGTGAATTTAAGTAGAGGTGACTAACCTGACCGGGTGGTCACGCTCCCTGACTTGGCTGTAAGCATGTCGGATCTCAGTTACATTATGCGAAAATACATTGTAGCTTGCATACACCATTGGCATTGCTTTACAGCGACTGATCTATGGATGAGATACTTTAATGTGCCGTAGACCGTGTAAACCTCCCTATAAATGTAATAACAATGAAGGTAAAAAAGGTATTGAATCAGCCTGTGCGAATGGGAGCAGTGAAGCGTGACGCAGGTGATTGTCTGTAAGGATGTAGATAAAATTACATATTAATTATAAACATTAGTTCTCTTACAGAAGTCGTCAGGGTAGATGAGTGATTGAGTTTAGTTTTACGCCGCACTAAGCAATATTCCAGCTATATGGTGGCGGTCTGTAAATAATCCAGTGATCAACAGCATGAGCATCGATCTGCGCAATTGGGAACCGATGACATAAGTCAACCAAGCCAGCGAGCCCGACCACCCGATCGCGTTAGTCGCCTCTTACGACAAGCATGGGTTACTGAAGATCAATATTCTAACCACGTTTAGTTGGACTAACCCCTTCAAGTATCTCAATATGGCAATGTGGGGAATATTGATTCTATTTGGATTTATACTATTTACAATGAATCGAAGAATTGGTCACCTGCGAGTCCAACTATTAGCCCGAGGTATCACTGCGGTGACAGTATTAACCACGTCAGATATACTCGTCTGGACACCCTCAGTAGTACACCTGGGAGTGTCCTCCCATTTGTGAGAACTCCCAGTTGTGAGACATTAATTAATGGTTCAGTGCACATAGGTTGTGTTTCCACATCCCTACAATATAAAGTGGGATCAGCCCAGCCCAATACCCACAGGAGGCATAGTTCATTTATGTGTTGATTAATGAAATAGATTATCAAAGATTATATTTACACAGAAGAAATAGTTCATTGAATATTTTATTTATTCAGAAGAATATGTAATTATGATAACACATTTTTATTGACTATTATGAAGTTTGAAAGTCATTTTGGTTTAAACATATTTTATCATTATTTATGAAAATGAATTGGTATTGGTGAAGTATTACTGCTTATGTTAACACCACTCCCATGCAACATAAAATATAAAATGAAATATATTTTTAAGTACATATAAATATATACAGATTACATCAAATACAACTATTCTCTAAGTAGTCATAATTAGAGACTTACAGTTGTGTGTGTCTAACAAGCTATTGCAGGAATATAAATCAATCACGAGAAGGTTGTTGAGTTAATTTCAGTATTTCCCTGTGAAAATTTGAAGGTTGTGTCTTGATGATATAATCGTGGACGGATTCAACTATTTTCTGGTGTACACAAGGAGTAAATTCTTTGTTTCCATTCAAAAAATTATCCAGGTTTTATCGGGTAGTTGATATCCACAAGAACAACATGGACTGTCTATTAAATGTCTGTTATACTTATCGGCGTTTAGGTCGCTATATCCGAGCCTGAGGCGACAGTGAACGATTGAACAAAAACAAGAGCCATAATTAAGATCAATATAAATCTTGTTTTCGGTTTTGGTAATTAGGTTTTAAAATTCTTTGAGACTGCATGACTCTTTGGAATTTGGAAGGGCATTCCATAAATATATTGTGTCGGGTAGAAAGGGTTTGGCATAAGGGGCATTTCGACTGTAAATTTCAGAGTTATTTCTTAAACTATAGCTTGTAGTTTCGGAGACGGAGTATATCTGAGTAGGTAAATTTACCTGAGTATGTTAATCAATTTATCTTATAAAGTTTCATTAAGTTACCTCCACACGATTCAGTTACATAGCAAATCAGTAATTAGCTAGGGTGAATCCATTCTCTCAGACAGGGGGGTATGGTGTGTTTTCGTTGTTAATTACCTACTCCACTGTCTAATAACTGGGAGTCTCACAACTGGGAGATCTCACAAATGGGAGTAGACCCACCTGGGTAATTGACCCCAAATCCTAAATAGGGTGACCTAATTAAACACCTGTGTCAACTCATTTGTGACCCGTTGCTATGCACATGGTCTATTTTTGGATTCCAAAGTGTTAGGGACATTTGGTTGACCTCATCACGGTGACGTAGAACGTTCTAAAAGGTATGACGTCATTTAGCAGGTAGGCAATATAAGGCCCCCCTAATTAGTCCTATGCCATTCTCATCTCAATCGCCAGAGAGAACGTACAGATCTTATGCTCTTCACGCTACTGATTCTGTTGGCTGTTTACCTTGAAGATAGAAAATAGAAGCAGTTCGCCGTGATATCCTGAGGAAGAATCACTCCGATCTCGAGATAAGTATACAGCATGTAGAAGTGGTGGTCGACAAACTGGTGCAGTTTGAAGTGCTTACTTGCCTCATGAAAGCTGAGATTATTGAGAAACCAGGGACGTCTTTTGATCGGGTCAGAGAACTACTGTCCATGTTACCTAGACGAGGCCCTCAAGCTTACACCCTATTCTGCAAAGCTTTGGAGGAATGCGGAGAGATCCAAGCCCTGACAATGCTTGGACTAGAGACTCCAAGTGACAAGTCACTAACAGACCTACAGCATGCCCGGAGTCATCTGGACTTAGGAGGTGAAGTGTTTGTAACTGCCAAGTCTTGGAATATTGTACTGAACATCCACATTGGGACGTATGATGTGTATTCCAGTGGCAGAAGTTATCCTACTCGTCGTGGCATCGTGCTCACCTTGAAACACTGGTTAGAAATACCAGGTGTAAAGCTGTCAGGGAAGGAAGAAATCGAGCCTATGTTCACCTAGGAGCTAACATGTATGCCACTTTGGAGCCAAATGGTGGTGTGGATCTACGACAGTGGGAGAAAATGAACAACTGGGAGTCGTACCTACTGCTAAGGGTATCTTGTTGTCCATTCAGCAATGGCAGAAACTGAGAGACTGTTGTGATGTGATGTCAGACTTTGTGCCAGAACTGAAGGACATGGTTCCCTGTATGGCACAAGAGGATCATCAAAACCAAATGGGGTACCTCCAGTGTTCCTTCTGTAATCCAAATGACTACAGTCAGTGGGTGTAAACCCATTCTTGTTTGGACTCTTGAACAGTCAACATGTTTGTCACATTACTGAGTGGTATTGTAAACAATGGTACCGTGACATTCAAGAAGCAGTGGAAGCTGTGATGGAGGAAATATCTCTCTGTGTGTAAATATTGTCTTTTGTGAATACAATGTTGCATTGTATTTTCGTCTTGGGTTTTGCTTAAATAGCATGATGCATGTGAGTAATGTTTAGTTGTGTTTGAGATGGCACCTTGGGAAAACTACTTGAATAGGATCTATTATCACCCACGTGGTCAACGTATGGGTAGTTGCATATTAATCTCGTACGTCACACGAGTGTCGTATCGCGTTGACCTGTGTCGTAACGACTTGACCTGAGATTGTAACGATTTGATTGGATAACCGATGGCCTCTCAATTAGGTCACATTCTGACGTAACTATTTTTTCATTCATAACAAACACGTGAATTCATTCATTCTACAACTTAAATGCATTGTGGGAATGTAAACATTGCGAACGTTGCCGTGTCGCTGTTTAATTGTGAGTCGAACTGAGACATTATATCTGTCGAAAAACATAAACGCATTGTTTCCACCAGTGATGTTAGCCGAATGAAGCAACTGAAAACCAAGAAACGAGGTGCAACGGAGTAGTTTACTGTAGGAGGCTGTACGAGGCGATGACAACTGACATGCATCGTGACGTCGGTTACCATGGCAGTGACGTCATTAGTGTGACGTCATGCAAATATTGTACTACAGTACAAAACTCTTCCGCAACCTCTTTATGAATCCGGTTTCGGTTTGAAACAAAAAACATAACAACAATACGCTATTTTGTCAATTTAAATGCATGTAAGACGTGGGTAATAAATAAAATACCACACTCAGTCTCATTACATACGCATTATACGAAACTCGTGACCTTCTTATGTTATCTGACCTCGCTTTCGCTCGGTCAGATACCATAGGAAGGACACTCGTTTCGTATAATTCGTATGTAATGAGACCTCGTGTAGTATTCTCTATTTACGATCCAGAACATCCTGGTAGTTATGCTGGACCCCAGAAGTTATATGAAGCCGTGAACGCCGAGGGTCAGTTTCAAATTGGTTTACATCGAATCAAGAAATGGCTCAAAGTTCAGGAAAACTATACGATGACTCACCAAGTTAGGAGAACATTTCCTACGACATTCTTACATGAGGCTGGATAAGATTTTATATGCTCCATGCTGAAGGGAAAGGAGATCCTTATCATTCCATTGTACGTGGAGGAGAAAAATCAGCCATGATGTCTGTCGATCGATATTTTGAACAAGTGGTCGAACAGGCCAAGGTTCTTATTCAGATCCCCCTATAAAAGGGGGAACTAAAACTGGAAAACAGTTCCTCCCAGAACCGCAAGCTGTGCACATCTAAAAAAGAGGGCTCTGGCGATAACTTGGATATACCCACCTTAAAGAAGAAATAATGGCTTCATACACTGAAAATTGATCCGTCGAAGCTAACGGTGATGGATTTAATCTCTTCACTATACCTCCTACCTATACGTCGGTGGATAAACAATATTATATGACCTACAGACCTTCGTTTCAAATTACAACCGATTCCAGTCCCATTGAATTAAATATCTCAGGACAAGGGGTAGATTACATTGGCTTGAGGAGAACTCAATTACATGTACAGGCCAGGATACTCAGAGCAGATGATATAGACATTACACAGATGAAAAAATAGGACCAGTCAATCTATGGCTTCAAAGTCTGTTCTCTCATTACGAGCTCGACCAATATTTATCCTTACAAGAGTTATATCAAGGTTCTTCTCAACGAAACCACATCAGTGAAACAATCTCTACTGCAGTCTCAACCAACTCTATTATAAAGATAGTGCGGGTTATTTGGATGAAACCACTCCTAATGCATGAAACAAGGGTCTGTTTCAAAGATATGAATACTCTAAGCATGGAACCGTGGATATGTGAGGACCTCTCTATGAAGATTTGATGGATTCAAACTTGATTAATGGCGTGGATTTACAAATACGAATGTTCTGCACCACAGCTGCATTTAATCTCATGTCTGGAGAAGACTCACCCAGTTACAAGGTTAAAATAGAAGATATCTATTTGAATATGTGTAAGATTCGACCCAGCTCAGCCATCACCACCAGTCATGCCAAAGTTCTCGCTCATCACACTGCAAAGTATCCTTTCACCAAAAGTGACATAAAAACTGTATCTTTACCCCAAGGACAGCTGAACTACACAGTGGATAATTTGTTTCAAAACAAGGTCCCCAACAAAATCGTTGTAGCGTTGGTATCTGCAGAAGCCGTCAATGGAAGTTACACCAAATCTCCCTTTAATTTCCAAATGTATAATCTCAGTTCTGTTGTTCTTTATGTGGATGGAGAATCACTACCAGGGGAACCCCTACGGGTAACTGATAAACAGTACATTGCAGCTTATAATACTTTGTTTGAAGGAAGAGCATCCAGAGGGTTGAACATCAACAGGCACGACTTTAAGGGCTGATTTGCTCTGTATCAGTTTTGTTTAGAACCCTATCATTTGAAAGAAGACTACTTGGATCTGATAAAAAGAGGAAGCGTAAGGCCACACCTTCAGTTTAACACGGCATTACCCGAGACAACAAATCTGATTCTCTATTCTGAGGATAATCTCATGCTGACCGTGGATAACGCGAGAAATATATTGTACTCTACACCATGAATAAGCTACAATTGATGTGTGCACTCTATGCGGATGGAATCACAAAACAGTTTAATGTTAAAATATACTGAACAGCAAAAGAAACGCAAGTTTCGAAAAAATGAAATTTCATGAAGGTAAGCGTTCATGTATATGGAACGTTCATGGTAAAGTGACGTAATGATCCCAGATGAGATGATGTCATGCAATTTGACGTCCATACGAACCATTCACACAAGCACACCAACAGTGCAGCAAAACCATAATTTTAGCACATGCGTCGACGTTTCTGGATGGAAAGCATGCATTTAACTCTAGGTATTCTTTATAAAGGTTTGTTTAAAAACACTTGTAGAGGGGTATAAACAAAGCCCGCAGCCTAGACTCCCAATTGTCCGATTTCTATTTGTGGAAGTCGCGGTGACTGAGCGGGTTAGGCGGCTGACTTTGTGTGCTGGCGACTTGGTGCCTGACTCTGAGGGTGTGGGTTCGAATCCCGGATGGGACTCAACCTAAAAAAGTACTAGAATCTGTAATTTACTAAGAAAGTATCATCCCAAATATAACATGTTGAACAAAGAAACAGTCACCAAATGTGTTTATTGAAACGCCTGGCTAGAAATGGCCTTCAAGGATTGAATGTCCCCGGTCCCCGATGAAACTCTATGAATCAGTTGTTTAAACAGGGCGGTGATGAATGTCCCTTGTAGGAATAAATATTTTGGTTGAAGGATTGAATTGGGCACGTGTCATTAAAATGTCGAAATGTCTCAAAAATGTCATCGTTTTCAACAATTTCTAGTGGGTAGATCATTGACAAGACTGTCTTAAAGTTGTTGGTTGGAGTGAAGTGATCTTACGAGTGATACTATACGTAAATGTGATTGAGAGTAGTGAGTGAGTGAGTTTAGTTTTACGCCACACTCAGCAATATTCCAGCTATATGGCGGCGGTCTGTAAATAATCGAGTCTGGTCCAGACAATCCAGTGATCAACAGCATGAACATCGATCTACGCAATTGGGAACCGATGACATGTGTCAGCCAAGTCAGCAAGCCTTACCACCCGATCCCGTTAGTCGCCTCTTACGACAAGCATAGTCGCCTTTTGTGGCAAGCATGGGTTGCTTAAGACCTATTCTACCCCGGATCTTCACGGGTCGATTGAGAGTAGAATAGCCCTACTGTTTTAAGCTCCTGGCACTGCTAGCTTGGGGTTATGACCCGTGAAGATCCGGGTTAGAATGAACCTTCAGGAACCCAAGGTTGTGTAAGAGGTGACTAACGGGATCGGGTGGTCAGACTTGGTTGACACATGCCATCGTATACCAACTGCGTAGACTGACTGACTGACTGACTGAGTTTGGTTTTACGCCGCTTTTAGCAATATTCCAGCTACATCACGGCGGGGAACACCAGAAATGGGCTTCACACATTGTACCCATGTGGGGATTCGAACCCGGGTCTTCGGCGTGACGAGCCAACGCTTTAACCACTAGGCTACCCCACCGGCCCCCAACTGCGTAGATCGCTGCTAATGCTGTTGATCACTGGATTGTCTGGTCCAGACTCGACCATTTACAGACCGCCGCCATATAGCTGGAATATTGCTGAGTGCGGCGTTAAACAACTGTTTATCAATCAATCAGTCTACTGGGGGTTCTGATTGGGAACAGAAAAGTCCAACTATTATGGACCGGAAAAATGCGGATTAGAATTGGTCTTCAGCAGCCATGCTTGTCTTAAAAGGCAATTAATGGGATCGGGTGGTCAGGTTTGCTGACTTGGTTGACACATGTCATCGTGTCCCGATTGTGTAGATCGATGCTCATGATATTAATCACTGGGTTGTCTGGTCCACATTCGATTATTTACATACTGTCATCATACAACAAACGAACAGCAAGAAAGCATTGGAAAGTTTACATTTATTTTCAGGGAGTTCCAAATGTTGACAAATTGAAATATTCACAGTAAACGTTGATTGGTCTTGCAATGAAAAGACATCTACACCGCATTCAAAGTGAAACGACACTCTTAATTCTTAGGCTGTATTTGCATCCCACAAAAAACCCCAAAACAAATCAGAAAGATTCCCTTCTATTTCCATACCCGTGAAGATCCTGGTTAGAATTGATCTTCAGCAACCCATGCTTGCTGTAAGAGGCGACTAACGGGATCGGATGGTCAGGCTCGCTGACTTGGTTGACACATGTTACGATGTTGATCACTGAATTGTTTGGCCGATTATTTACAGACCGCCGTCATATAGCTGGAATATTGCTGAATACGGCGTTAAACAACAACCAAACCAAACTATTTCCATCGGCAACGTGCATACACAACACATACAAAATAGAGCTATTCCGGCATTTCTAAAAATATTGAATAAGCCTATAATATTGCTCATTATATTGTCTGCTTCAGATTTGATAATATGGTGATATAGACTTACAGATATGCTAAAGACCTGCAGTCGTGGGCTTGAAATCCCAAGACCTCACTCACTCACTCACTCACTCACAAACTCACTCACTCACACACTCACACACTCACACACTCACCCAGGACGCAGGACGCCAAGTACTGATAACCATCTGATTTCTCAAAGGAAAAGTTCAAGCTCGTTTGGGACCGCCACATGGCACCTTGTGTCTTTTCTATGGCTTTCTAATGATATATTAGTTGCCTAGGCAATATGTTTAAAAACTAATGCATCCATTATTCTAATTTCAATATAGGTGCACGTCTGGCATGGCACGTCTCACTCACTCACTCACGCACTCACTCACTCACTCACGACAGAATGCTTTTTAGCCCATGTGTCAACAGTCAGCATCTCAGGCGTCGGTTCTTCAAACACAGTGGACAAACGCCCAGCCCAGTCAGCTAGATATTCCTTCAGCTTCTCCTCCGTCCCATTCTCGACACCAAGTGAAACCTGAGGGGTCAGGACGTCGAATCCGACCATGTTCAAAGGCCCAACCTGTAAAATACATCATAAACCTCGTAAATAGAGAATCTCACCCAAGTGTCTTCTGATATTAAATATATCAACACGATTAAAGTTACAAATATCCGAGGCTTGCCGATATATTTGATATCAGAAGACACGAGGGTGAGATTCTATTTATCATAAAAAACACTCTTCTGTATTTTTCAATGAAAACTGTACGTCTCTGAATATGGTACTGCCATTGGACTTGCAGTGCAGCGATGTCATAGCATTGTGACGTCATCAAGTTCATGACGTCATAGCATTGTTAGGGGATTGCACAAAACCTAATTTCAAATCTATCTCCAAGGAGATATCGTTTGATCTCAGACAAGCAATACATCTTCAGAATTCTTGTAAAAGACCTCTCTACCTTATTCCCGGATTGAACCCGGAGAGTATAGCCAGTTTGTTTGTAATTTAACGCCGCACTGAGCTTTATGGCGGCGGTCTGTAAATAATCGAGTCTGGACCAGACGATCCGGTGGTCAACAGCATGAACATCGATCTACGCAATTGGGATACGATGAACACATGGTCAACCAAGTCAGCGAGCCTGACCACCCGATCCCGTTAGTCGCCTCTTACGACAAGCGTAGATCGATGGTCATGATGCTGATCACTGGATTGTCTGGTCCAGACAGCCGCCATATAAACTGACCGACAAAAGAAAGTATACCAAAAATTACCATTTCTCAAATCTTAAAGAAATATTTGTGTAGGTAAATTATACACTGAAACATGTCGCCCCAACGTAGCAATTTGATACCTGCAGTGAAATTCACGTGCACGTCGGGAATAAAACGTCGAAGTGATCAATTGTATAAACCATGATTTGGGGCCTCTGTCAGAGTTCCACATGCACTAAAGGTATAAAAGTTAGTGTGCGGACAGGTTACACATGCAATTTGAAAATGATCACGTGGTCACAGATATGCCACGACTATCAGCAGCTTAACGTGAGAGGGTCATAGGTATGCTCTAGATGGGGTCGACACACGCCAACGTTGCAAGAACCAACGGCTGCACCCGTGTAGCCATCTCTAGACTGCTGCAACATTACAGGCAGACGGGTAAGACACAGGACAGACCAAGATGTGGCAGACTGCGAGTAATAACACCAGCTGAAGACCGGCATTTGAGGACGTTAAACCTGAGAAACCGTTTCCTGACGGTAACGTCATCAGCGTCGAATTGCCTTGATCACCGTGTCAGTCGATACACGGTGGCTAGAAGTCTTCGGGCAGCAGGTATCAGAGCCTACAGACCCTTCAAAGGACAGGTGTTGACCCCTGAACACAGACGTCACAGGGCCCGAGTTGTTCGCCGTTGGCAGCGACGAGAGGAACAACGTGAACGTTCTACAGTGGCCAGCACGTTCTCCAGACATGTCCCCGATCGAGCACATGCGGGATGCACTAGACAGAAACGCCCTAACCCACCACAGAATAGACAGCAACTTGCACAAGCCCTCCAGGACGAATGGCGTCGCATACCACGTGACTTGTCCGACGTTTTCGGCTAGAAGGAGGCTGCGAGCCTGTATTGATGCAAGGGGTGGAGATACATGATACTAAAGTGATGGTAGTGAACATTTCTTGTGTGTAACTCAGTACCTGCTTATCCTCTATGTGTTTGAAAACTTGTTTTCAGGACCCCCAGTGAACTTGCGCATGTGTGACGCCACGTGTTTTTGTAGTATGCGTGTGATTTTTAGCTCAGGTTGAATAAAGATGTTGTTAACACCACTGTATCATGTTTGTGTGTCTAGGTAGTCTGGGTCAATGATAATGACCTCTTGAAAACCTGGGGCGGTGGGGTAGACTAGTGGTTAAGGCGTTCGCTCGTCACGCTGAAGACTCGGGTTCGATTCCCCACATGGGTACAATGTGTAAAGACCATTTCTGGTGTCCCCCGCCGTGATATTGCTGGAATATTGCTAAAAGCGGCGTAAAACCAAAACTCACTCACTCTTGAAAACCATGTATATTATACTTTCTTTTGCCGGTCAGTTTAGTAGGAATCTTGCTGAGTGCAGTGTTAAACAAGAAACCAACCACGACAAGCATGGGTTACTGAGGACCAATTCTAACCCGGATCTTCACGGGTGCTAAATGAAAGTACTGGAACCAGTTACTGTTCATACCTGCATTGGTAAGAGCATGGCTTCCAGGGACTCAACGGGTATGCTCGGAGCTCCGGTAGTAAAGGACAGTAGCGCCCTTTTACCCTGGAATCAGAAAAATAGATAGATCTTATCTCGGTTTAAGGCTTAAACTTCAGTCAAATCTAGGAGTTTGATGTTTGAATGAATTATAGCAAAGCCTTTATGCCCCTTACTTTATCGGCTGGCTGGCACTATATACTGGCTGAGTATATTAAGGCAGTTTATGACACTTCTTGGGCAGCGGGACCTAGTAGGTAAAGCGTTAGCTTGTCACACCGAATATCCGGGTACGATTCCCCAATGTGTGGGGCCCAGTTTTGGTGTCCATCGCCGTGATAATAATTACAAGTAGTTCATTTACTTCTGGGGCTGCGGGATAGCATAGTAGGTAAAGCGTTCGCACCGAAGACCCGTGTTCGATTCCCTACCTACAATGAGTCAGTGGCGGTGGGATAGCCTAGTGGTTCAGGCGTTCACTCGTCACGCTGAAGACCCGTGTTCCTATCCTTTCAATGTGTTAACCCCATTCCTGGTGTCCTGTGGCGTAATATTGCTGGAATATTGCTAACATCAGCGTAAAACCTCACTTACTAACTCGACCTTACCCTTGACAAGGAGCGGTGGGGTAGCCTAGTGGTTAAAGCGTTCGCTCGTCACGCTGAAGACCCGGGTGCGATTCCCCACATGGGTATAATGAATGAACTCCATTCATGGTGTCCTCAGGCGTAATATTGCTGGAATATTGCTGAAAGCAGCGTAAAACCCTACACACTCACTAACTCACCCTTACCCTCAAATCACCTTCTTCGTAGAATCCTGTTTTGCGGACGAACCCCGAAATGACCTGGATGACCCTGTCCATCCAACCCTTCAGTATGGCAGGAAATGAGCTCCAATACAGAGGGAACTGGAACACGACCAGGTCCGCCCGCTCCACCTTGTCCACCTCCTCCTGGACATCCCTGCTTACATCAGATGGACCTGAATCTGAAACTGAATGGAGCAGCGGATTTAAACGGGGACTGCGACTGTAGGAACACTCACGCGATCTTCCGTCCTCATCCTGGACATGCCTGTATACATCAGCTGAGCCTGAATCTGAAACTGGTGCAGGACCCGCTCGTCCTTATTCACTTCTGTCTGAGGGACAGTGGGAGAACGTGAGGTGAGGTGAGGTGAAATTGGGTTTAACGTCGTGCTTGAGAATATTTCGCTCATATGACGACGTGCATGCGTGTATATGTATGTGCGGCTGCTTGTACTAGCCCAGACTTAAGCTGGTTTTATAGTGCAAGCCCACTGAGATACCTTGCCGCAGTGAAGCATGAATACCCCACTCAGACACATTGTACTGACTCCGAGCCGACCAGTCCTTGTTGTACCCATTAATACCGAGCACCAGGCAGGGATCAACAAGTACCATATTTGGTATGACGCGGTCGGGGATCGAACCCGCGACCTTCCGTTCTCCGGGCAGACGGGAGAACGTGAGAGAGACGGAGAGACTTATACACATATTGATTGTCCATGACAGGAAATAACGTAACTACGAGTTGAAAGGGCCCAGTCAAGAGAAGATTTGAAGAGCAGTCAACAGCGAGTGGAACATTCCAGAATGGTTTTGTACCAGAGCGTTCTAGAAGTACCGTTTCACCCCTACACCAAACCTGTTTATATACAAACCTGAAAAATCTTCAAGTCGAACCAGTGGATCAAAGTTCATCTTGTACAGGTCGGACACGACGACGTTGTGGCCTTTTGACGACAGCACTTCGACAGCCTTTCGCAGGAGGGCGCCATTGAACGATTCAGGTTTGGGGTGAGCGTACACAATCAGCACATTCTTACCTCCCTTTGATGATGTGTTACCTGCAGTAGCCATTCTGTTGGTGAAAGAGGCAAGTGGTTGATTATAGAATGTGAGAGGAATTAATAATAATTAACAAGGTTGTCCTTTAGCAGCAGTGAATTTGAGTAGAGGTGACTAACGGGGCCGTGTGGTCATGCTCCCTGACTTGGCTGTACGCATGTCCGATCCCAGTTACATTATGCGAAAATACATTGTAGCTTGCATACACCATTGCTGTACAGCGACTGATCTATGGAGGAGATACTTTAATGTGCGGTAGACCGTGTAAACCTCCCTATAAATGTAATAACAATGAAGGTAAAAAAGGTATTGAATCAGCCTGTGCGAATTGGAGCAGTGATGCGTGACGCAGGTGATTGTCTGGGATGTAGATAAAATTACATACTAATTATAAACATTAGTTCTCTTACAGAAGTCGTCAGGGTAGATGAGTGATTGAGTTTAGTTTTACGCCGCATTCAGCTGTATTCCAGATATATGGTGGCGGTCTATAAATACTCGAGTCTGGACCAGACAATCCAGTGATCAACATCATGAGTGAGTTTAGTTTTACACCGCACTCAGCAATATTCCAGCTATATGGCGGCGGTCTGTAAATAATCGAGTCTGGACCAGACAATCCAGTGATCAACAGCATGAGCATCGATCTACGCAATTGGGAACCGATGACATACGTCAACCAAGCCAGCGAGCCCGACCACCCGATCGCTTCAGTTGTCTGGGTTACTGAAGATCAATATTCTAACCACGTTTAGTTGGACTAACCCCTTCACGTATCTCAATATGGCAATGTGGGGAATATTGATTCTATTTGGATTTATACTATCTACAATGAATCGAAGAATTGGTCCAACTATTAGCCCAAGGTATCACTGCGGTGACAGTATCAACCACATCAGATATACTCGTCTGGACACCCTCAGTAGTACACCTGGGTATTGGACCCCAAATCCGCCATTTTGAATTTTTAATGAGACACCTGGATGAGCTAATTAAACACCTGTGTCACCTCATTTGTGACCCGTTGCTATGCACATGGTCTATTTGTTTATTCCAAAGTGTTAGGGAGATTTGGTTGACCTCACCACGGTGACGTAGAACGTTCTAAAAGGTCATTTAGCAGGTAGGCAATATAAGGCCCCCCTAATCAGTCCTATGCCATTCTACGTCGTCATATGAGCGAAATATTCTCAAGTACGACGTTAAACCCAATTTCACCTCACCTCACCTCACCTCACCTCACCTATGCCATTCCCATCTCAATCGCCAGAGAGAACGTACATATCTTATGCTCTTCACGCTACTGATTCTGTTGGCTGTTTACCTTGAAGATAGAAAATGGAAGCAGTTCGCAGTGATATCCTGAGGAAGAATCACTCCGATCTCGTGACAAGTATACAGCATGTAGAAGTGGTGGTCGACAAACTGGTGCAGTTTGAAGTGCTTACTTGCCTCATGAAAGCTGAGATTATTGAGAAACCAGGGACGTCTTTTGATCGGGTCAGGGAACTACTGTCCATGTTACCTAGACGAGGCCCTCAAGCTTACACCCTATTCTGCAAAGCTTTGGAGGAATGCGGAGAGATCCAAGCCCTGACAATGCTTGGACTAGAGACTCCAAGTGACAAGTCACTAACAGACCTACAGGATGCCCGGAGTCATCTGGACTTAGGAGGTGAAGTGTTTGTAACAGCCAGGTCTTGGAATATTGTACTGAACATCCACATTGGGACGTATGATGTGTATTCCAGTGGCAGAAGTTATCCTACTCGTCGTGGCATCGTGCCTAGTGCATGTGGAAGACAGACGTCCCATGCAGCTTTTGGCAACTGGGCACAGGCAGCTGTGAATCGGTTTCGAAGGGCTTGGCCATAACATATCGGTCATTTGCCCTTGATGCTTTTCTGGGTATTCCAGAGCGAGGTCTGTCCTTTACTCTACCAGTGGCCTGGAACCTGTCCCTCAGTCTGTGAATGACAGAGGGAGACACCTGAAGACAGAGAGCAACACTTCTTATGGAATCACCATCCTGTAACCATGCAATGGTCCTGCTTCTGTTGCGGGCGCTTAACGCTTTGCGCTGTGGCACGGTGAAGAAAATGTGAGGCTTCAATACTGTCTGTAGCTTCTTTTACAGGAATCGTTGCCACAAGCTGCATGGGAAGTCTGTCTTCCACATGCACTAGGCTGTTGTGTTTGGGCGTTTAAATCAAACATGGTGCTGGTGTGTTTCAGCACCCTTGTTTTTCGCGGCTTTTAACAATGTTTCATTTCACTCAAACTCAACGAATATTGAATCAGTTGCTCACTTCATGTTCCAACATGTCGTTTAAAGTGCCCATTAAGCACACAAAAAGTTGCATTTACCTTAGAGTATAAATGACCTCACCAGGTTTCAGTTTATTTTCGACTATCATATTTTAGGCTGTTCATATATTTTTTGTTTGTAGTATATATTGAGGGCTCAAGTTAGTGATCTTGAGCGGACAAGTTAGTATCTTGAGCGCTCAACTTCGTGTTTAGCATCTAATGGCATTAACGGAACGCACGTTTGCTTGACTGATGGCTACAATGTACAAACGTATATCCTTTTTGGAAGATTTCAAACGATGCAAAGTCGGAGTTAACTATTGGTGTTTATGATGAGACTATGTAAAACTATGCAAATGTATCATGAATATTGATAATATTTATGTAAATGTTCATCGTCTTTATGCTTGTCAATACTATTCTTTGTAACTGATTTTGTTACTTTTCGCTGTATTACGTAAAGCAGGCCCAGGTATGTGTTATGTCATAATATAAATTAAAACATAAACATGAGTAGGAGTTTATTGCAGGAATGAATAGTGGTTTTACTGACTTCTAATATTGGTACAACGTATTATGAACACTAGCACATAAAGCTTGGATAACTGTTTGTGCTTCGGCTTTATTGTGTATATATAGTATTACATGACCATGAAAAATGTAAACATTGAGTGTTATACTTAATTATAAAACTCATGTCTGATGTATTGAGTTTAACTCAATATCATATAAAACCCGCCTTATATATTTGATCCATTTGTATGTGCACGTGTAGCACATATACCGACTTCATTTCTTACTAAAATACCGTGTTCCCCGTTTTACTTCCTTCGTTTCAATCCCGTGTGTATACGTATGTGTGTTGTAATTTATTTAACATGTTTTAACAACACAGGAAGTTGAAGAATAAACACATCGATGAAGGCGGTGTCTTGAGCGAAATTCAACGCCATCCGGGTCCAACACTATTAGCAACGACCGTACACTATCCTGTTGCACGATAAACCACATTGGATACATGTTTGATGCATCCAACGAAAACCATGTATTTAGATCGTCGAAGTTGTCCGCAATAAAGTCTGTAACATCAGCGGGCCGGTGTGGTAGCCTAGTGGTTAAAGCGTCCGCTCGTCACGCCGAAGACCTGGGTTCAATTCCCACATGGGTACAAGAGTGAAGCCCATTTCTGGTGTCCCCCGCCGTGATATTGCTGGAATATTGCTATAAGCGGCGTAAAGCGTGCTCACTCACTCACTCACTGTAACATCAGCAAATCTGGTATCTGGTGCGAAAGAGGGACATACACCTCAGAATACGCTTCAAGTGGCGTACTATACTATACCATTATTTTAAACAAGAAGATGTATTATATTTTTGTATTGGAACCAAAGACTGAAATAAGCATGAATCAGCTCGCGTTTTCGCTCCCCCGTGGCTTCGACATGAACTGCTTATGGAGTAGTGTATCTCAATATATTAACCTGTGCGCTCAAGATACTAACTTATGCGCTCAAGATACTAACTTGTGCGCTCAACATACTAACTTGTGCGCTCAATATATTAACCTGTGCACTCAACATACTAACTTGTGCGCTCAAGATACTAACTTGTGCGCTCAACATACTAACTTGTGCGCTCAAGATACTAACTTGTGCGCTCAACATACTAACTTGTGCGCTCAACATACTAACTTGTGCGCTCAACATACTAACTTGTGCGCTAAATATATTAACTTGTGCGCTCAATATATTAACTTTCGCAGTCATCATACTAACTTGTGCGCTCAATATATTAACTTGTGCGCTCAATATATTAACTTTCGCAGTCATCATACTAACTTGTGCGCTCAATATACTAACTTGTGCGCTCAATATATTAACTTTCGCAGTCATCATACTAACTTGTGCGCTCAAGATACTAATTTATGCGCTCAAGATACTAACTTGTGCGCTCAACATACTAACTTGTGCGCTCAATATGTTAACTTGTGCGCTCAATATGTTAACTTGTGCACTCAAGATACTAACTTGTGCGCTCAATATACTAACTTGTGCAGTCAAGATACTAACTTGTGCGCTCAATATGTTAACTTGTGCACTCAAGATACTAACTTGTGCGCTCAATATACTAACTTGTGCAGTCAAGATACTAACTTGTGCGCTCAAGATATTAACTTATGCGCTCAAGATACAAACGTGTGCGCTCAACATACTAACTTGTGCACTCAAGATACTAACTTGTGCACTCAAGATACTAACTTGTGCGCTCAACATACTAACTTGTGCGCTCAAGATACTAACTTATGCGCTCAAGATACAAACGTGTGCGCTCAACATACTAACTTGTGCGCTCAATATATTAACTTGTGCGCTCAAGATACTAACTTGTGCGCTCAATATATTAACTTGTGCACTCAACATACTAAATTGTGCCTCAAGATAAATTTTATTTCATCAGGTCCCTTCAGCGCTTCCGTAGTTCCTTTCTATAAAGAAAATATAATTTAAAAATAAAATATAACGACATAAAAAAAATCACAAATCAAAAACCTTTCATGGTAACTATATATTTATATCTGAAGTATGAAGTCACTTATAATACATTTGTAATGGTAGTACTAAGCCGGGCTACAGATAAGGGGCGTATATACAGGCGTAATGTACACCTAAAAATCAATGAAATACGACATAATATAGGATTTCAAGCGTATCACGTACACACATAAATACCTTTGTACGTCTAACATTTAATTCCCGTGCGTATCGTGCAAATGGAATTCTATTTCGGATCAATACTGGTTGTCAAGAGTTTCTTTCGCGAAACGCAATTGGACACATGAGGAAACCCCGGAGGAGGGAATTCCCTTGCGTTGCCATGCAACGATATGCGTCAGTATTTTTCGTTTGGCTAAAAAACTACACTGTTCCTATTTATATCCAGTCGGACCAGGCATTTCGCTGATCACACGGTCCCTCAGTTATTTCTCACGGGTGTTCAAAATACTTTTTACACTAAATTAAAATCTCACTCTGTTACTGAGAACTGCGCATACATTGTGTCGGTATTATCGCATGCAAGGCGGTAACATATACCATTAGAATATTTGCAAAGAACAAACCACATCACCAACTCGATCGCTCACACAAAAAACATGTCCACTTGTAGTATGAGGTGTAAGTACACCCACACTCCTCCCCAAAAGTTATCAGTAGCCCCGACTGTCTTACATAAAATATGTTTGTACAGTTGTATGTTTATCTGGTGGATTAAATTCACAAAACACACTGACATGTACTCGGCTATATACTTTTTGTCTATAAATACTCTGAGTTCAGATGTACGTTAAGAGGACACGGGGGGCGGTGGGGTAGCCTAATGGTTAAAGGGGAACTGTACACGAATAAATCACATTTATTCTTATGTGAATCAAAGTGAACTGTTTTAATGAGTTAATACCTATGTTTGAAAATATACACTTATTTTTCTTACAATGTAAGTACAACCCACAAAATAAGTGCTGATATGTTATGCCAATATGAGGCCTTTGTTTGCAGAGCTAAAACAGGTCAGAGTTACCGCCCTTTGATTATGACGTAATTGGTGCCACTGGTCTCCTGTCTAGTCCCAAGATAAATTATACTGAAATTAATCACGTGAAAAAGGTTTGTGAAAATTCGAAACAAGCATAAGAACAGACAATGTAAGCAGCAGGACAGATTGATCGTGTGTATTTTCATTCATAACCTCACCTCAGTGAAAATACCAAATGTGTATAACAATGTTGACGTCCGTATGACATCACTATCGGGAAGCGACTTTTTCAAAATGGCGTGTTCACTGACACGAGTACGAAGTTTTCGAAGACATTTTCGTTGTTTCAAGCAACGTATATGCATGAATGTGACACGTAAGTAGTCCGAAAATTATGTCAGTCTGCTGGTTGTTATTTTCTTTTTGTTTTCATTGTGACCAAGGGAAATAGTCAGACATTAAGAGAGGTACCGTCATCGTTGTGCGTGAGTTGGCGTCAGTCATGGCGTCACGCTTTCAGAAACTGTAATATATGTTGTGATGAATCTAGAAAATCACAAGAATACACCTATTTTATTTAACTATCGCTTGCTACGATACCTTTCCATGCATGTTCTAAATCTAATGACCAGGCAACAAGTAGGCGAACGGATACACAGTGTAAAATCTGAGATTGGCTTTGTTTACATTTCAAACATGTGGTCCTTTCCCAGCGCGGCATCTGATATATTTCGTTCGATTTCACTGAAACACTTCGAATTGGTGACAAAGTCCACTTGCCAGTTTATTTTGAACTGTATGTGGAATTCAGGGATTCCTGTCAGGAAGATGGTGTTGAACTATACAATTTTATTGATTTTATGGGCGAAACATAACCAACATACATGTGACGTGAATTTATAAACACTCTGTAATATGGCTATGGCGTATTTTCCTTAACATTCTCAGCGATTCTCGATTCATCGACAATGCTTCAGAACGAGCATTGGTGATTTGATCATACAACAACAAAACTACCGCTGATCACAATGATACGTCTTTTTCTTTTAAATTGAGTTCTCCCAGTAAAATTTGACATTTGAATTAAGACATACTATAAATTAAGCAAAACGCAGTAAATGGTGATTTAGTAATGTGTCAAAACTGGCGAGATTTACGATGCATGTAATTTTCAGTATATTTGGATAATAAGCGGATGATACATCTATCATAGAACAAACAATGTTCAAAACTGCAAATTGCATTTATCTTCGTGATGTATTTGGATATGGTATCGATATCAAAGTGAAGGTGGAAGAGGAGGGACATATTGTACGATTTAAGTAGGAATTTTAGTAACAAACGTAGAACTCCGGCACATTCACAGATGGCAAGCTAGATGTAGTGCACGTTTTAATTTTTGTGAAAAATGATACTGTTGAAAAGGCGACCGACTCAGGTTGAATGTTATACAATTTGGTTACGTGGTAACACATTTAGTACAATGTATACTTTTTTTCAAAACAGCTACGTCATTACAGTATAGAACTGACCACATAGCCAGCTGACGGCTAGGCAACAGGTGGATTAAAACAGTAGCCTGCGCATCGAGACACAAGAACCACACCTATACCTGCACCACGTGAAATGGGTCTAATAAGGTCTAACGACGTCATCCGTTTATCGTTTTGGCACCAATGACGTCATTTCCAAGGGACATAAGCCATGGTGTGTTTATTGTGGACATAGAACTCTCGGTAAATGTTGAAAATATGAATTGATATAACGCAAAAAATAAATTAGTTGCTTCTGATATATGTACGTGTTTGGATATAAAACTACTTGATAAACACTTTTTATGATGAAAAAGTGCAAGACAAAAAGGTTAAATTTCGTGTACACTTGCCCTTTAAAACTTTGGCTCGTCACGCCGAAGACCCGGGTTCGAATCCCCACATGGGTACAATGTGTGAAGCCCATTTCTGGTGTCCCCCGCCGTGATGTTGCTGGAATATTGCTAAAAGCGGCGTAAAACGAAAACTAAGTCAGTAAGAGGACACGACCTCTAGAGGGAGGGCAATGGTTGTTTTTTCTAAATGTTTTCCAGAATAACGACGCGATTTCAGTTATTGCAACCATAACTAACTTTACACAATTTCAGAATATAAGCAATAACAACATACGACATAACCATAGGACACGTGTTGATCTAGTGTGTTCTGCCCGACTGAAAAAAACACTCGAAGCGAACATCTGTCGCCAGATCAGCCGATCTTACAGCCCGCTGTTATGAATGGCATACTGTAAAATATGGAGTGGAGTCTTGGAGTGGAGCCTTGGAGTGGAGTCTTGGAGTGGAGTCTGGAGTATGGAGTATAAGTGCACTTGTCACTTCTGTAAACACTGATTACTGTCTAGAATATGCCATTAATGGTTCTTCCCAGTTGTCGTTTATACCTCCGGAATCACCGGTTTCAAAAGTAAATATCTTATCTTACTCATCTTAGAGATTAGTCTTTCTTTTTACAGCTCTCGTAAAAATGTTTGTTAATGCTTGTCAGTTTACTCCAAACTTATTAATAAATCGTCACAAATTCGAACTCTGTGCAATTATACTTTCATTTGTAGACAGCAACGTAATCGAGATTGTAAAAATGTTTAAAAGGCAATTCTCAGCAGCATTCCTTTAGCTCTCTGACATTCTGAGGGCAGATCGTATCAGTGATGTGTTTCCTCTAATCTGTCACAGTCCAGTGGACTGCCCATACATAACCTGACAGAAAGTCAAGATTTTCGAAGCCATAGAGAGCTGATGAAACTCACTAACAATCAGCTTGCAAAATATTCTGCTGCATTTATTTTTGCTTTTTGTTTGTATGTTCAAGGATGTAGAGAGATGGCTATTTCTGAACAAAAAGCAAAACAATTATGACTTAGGAACAGTTACTTTTGCCATCACTGACAATAAATCCAGTTCTCGAATAATATAGTGCTATGTATCTTATGTAATCAATTTCTTTGTTAAGTAGGAAATAAATAATTCATGCAATAATAACTGTTATATTCCCTGATGATTAGAATGTCTTAGCGTAGACCTAATTTATGAACCTTTTCCCTTACTACCGATTCCTCTACACAATTGTGAATTTACAAGTGACAATGTTATATATGTTGTTTTTTGGCTAATAAATAATGCCCTTATTAATATTTTGTTTACACTTTGTAAATAATTTACATGCTTCTTCATTCATCCATTCATCCATCCTGCCATCTATTCATATACATTTTTCTTCTTGATGGCAGCGTGGTACTGTTACAGAATGACATTTCTGGAGTTGACAGGGCTAATTGATACGTGTATACAAAATGCCTCCTGTCTTCTGATAAAACTGATAACACCAACCAGCTACAAATGTGAAATGAATGTGCTTGTATAGCTTCCGTTATGATCAAAACAAAACAAACTCGGTCATCTAAATATTTACATTAAGACTCCATTCCGAGACTCCACTCCAAGACCCCACTCCAAGACTCCACTCCATGTTTTACAGTATGCCGTTATGAATAGCCCACATTTCTACTTTTCTGTGGCAACCCGTGACCGTGTGTTCGGTGGGAGCGAAGGGTTCTGTAACTCGCAAAGTTTTGTTTGATAAAACAACGTAACCAGATGTCTGAACGTACCTGTACGACACGGTATGTTCAACAGCTCCGAGGCTCGTAACATCCGCACTGAAGGAAGCCACTCTGTGTAACCTGGTATGACGTGGGTTCAATTGTAAATAACGCTGAAACATGACGCGAAAATGAAAACAAATTTTGCATTGTTCATTATTCACATACAATTAAGCTGTGAGCGAGCTCTGTGTGTGCTTTGCCAGAAACCCGATACTCTGGGTTCGGTGGGGAGTGTGAAGAGCTCTGTAGCGAAGGTCCTTGAAACGGAGGGTTTGTTTGCCTGGGTGTCTCGAGTCACACGAATAAACAGTAATAACTTCTGTGAAGAAATGAAAGTTTACGACAAAATGGACTTTTCAGGTAGGGTTGGTTGTTGGTTAACGCCGCACTCAGCAGTGTTCCAGCTATATGGCGGCCGTCTGTAAATAATCAAGTCTGGACCAGACAATCCTGTGATCAACGGCATGAGCATCAATCTACGCAATTGGGACATGTGTCAACCAAGTCAGTGAGTCTGACCACCCGATCGCCTTAGTCGCCTTTTACGACAATCATGGGTTGCTGGTAGGTGACTATTGAGGGGGAAACAACTATTGCGATAGGGATGGTCTATTGCGACCAACTATTGCAACATTTTTCCCCCCTTGAATTGTCTAATTTGAAGCCATTTCCCAAATTGATGTATAGTTAATATGAAATAAACAAGTTGAAGTAGTTTCAGTCTCTTTTAATAGCTGACAAGACACCTGACACCCAGATCAATTAAACAGTTAAAACATAAACACAATGAAGCTGCAAGTCTGCACCCAAACATCCTGTATTTTCCGCTGCGCATTTATTAACGGATGTCATTTACTAAACTATCGATAGTCACACACTATTTCGATGCATCGATAGTTTTTCGTTTCTACCATCGATTAATTGATATCGGACATTCAGCAATTGCAATCTATCGATAGTTCGAAGCATCCGTACAGACCTAGTTGCTGAAGATCAGTTCTAAACTGGATCTTCAAGGGTTTTCAAGTAGGGAGTATGAGTCCAACTCAAGCCAAAACTGATTTGACACCTCCAGATACGACAAGTAATGCTGAGAGCTAATCTGTTACTATACGGAGACACACACTAACACAACCAGGGTATGACTGACGGTGTGACATCACTACAGACACACTAACACAACCAGGTAATGACTGACTGTGTGACATCACTACAGACACACTAACAAAACCAGGGCATGACTGACAACACAACCAGGGCATGACTGATGGTGTGACATCACTACACACACACTAACACAACCAGGGCATGACTGACAGTGTGACATCACTAGACACACTAACACAACCAGGGCATGACTGACAGAGTGACATCACTACAGACACACTAACACAACCAGGGCATGACTGACAGTGTGACATCACTACAGGCACACTAACACAACCAGGACATGACTGACGGTGTGACATCACTACAGACACACTAACACAACCAGGCTATGACTGACAGTGTGACATAACTTCAGGCACACTAACACAACCAGGCTATGACTGACAGTGTGAAATCACCACAGGCACACTAACACAACCAGGGCATGACTGACGGTGTGACATCACTACAGACACACTAACACAACAAGAGCATGACTGACGGTGTGACATCACTACAGACACACTAACACAACCAGGGCATGACTGACGGTGTGACATCACTACAGACACACTAACACAAAAAGAGCATGACTGACAGTGTGACATCACTACAGACACACTAACACAACCAGGGCATGACTGACGGTGTGACATCACTAGAGACACACTAACACAACAAGGGCATGACTGACGGTGTGACATCACTAGAGACACACTAACACAACAAGAGCATGACTGACGGTGTGACATCACTACAGACACACTAACACAACAAGAGCATGACTGACGGTGTGACATCACTACAGACACACTAACACAACCAGGGCATGACTGACGGTGTGACATCACTACAGACACACTAACACAACCAGGGCATGACTGACGGTGTGACATCACTATAGACACACTAACACAACCAGGGCATGACTGACGGTGTGACATCACTATAGACACACTAACACAACCAGGGCATGACTGACGGTGTGACATCACTACACACACACTAACACAACCAGGGCATGACTGACGGTGTGACATCACTACAGACACACTAACACAACCAGGGCATGACTGACAGTGTGACATCACTACAGACAAACAAACACAACCAGGGCATGACTGACAGTGTGACATCACTAGAGACACACTAACACAACAAGAGCATGACTGACGGTGTGACATCACTACAGACACACTAACACAACAAGAGCATGACTGACGGTGTGACATCACTACAGACACACTAACACAACCAGGTCATGACTGACAGTGTGACATCACTACAGACACACTAACACAACAAGAGCATGACTGATGGTGTGACATCACTACAGACACATTAACACAACCAGGGCATGACTGATGGTGTGACATCACTACAGACACATTAACACAACCAGGGCATGACTGACAGTGTGACATCACTACAGACACACTAACACAACCAGGGCATGACTGATGGTGTGACATCACTACACACACACTAACACAACAAGAGCATGACTGATGGTGTGACATCACTACAGACACACTAACACAACCAGGGCATGACTGATGGTGTGACATCACTACAGACACATTAACACAACCAGGGCATGACTGACAGTGTGACATCACTACAGACACACTAACACAACAAGAGCATGACTGATGGTGTGACATCACTACAGTCACACTAACACAACCAGGGCATGACTGACGGTGTGACATCACTACAGACACACTAACACAACAAGAGCATGACTGACGGTGTGACATCACTATAGACACACTAACACAACCAGGGCATGACTGACGGTGTGACATCACTATAGACACACTAACACAACAAGAGCATGACTGACGGTGTGACATCACTACAGACACACTAACACAACCAGGGCATGACTGACGGTGTGACATCACTACAGACACACTGTAACAACCAGGGCATGACTGACAGTGTGACATCACTACACACACACTAACACAACCAGGGTATGACTGACGGTGTGACATCACTACAGACACACTAACACAACCAGGTCATGACTGACGGTGTGACATCACTACAGACACACTAACACAACCAGGTCATGACTGACAGTGTGACATCACTACAGACACACTAACACAACAAGAGCATGACTGACGGTGTGACATCACTACAGACACACAAACACAACAAGAGCATGACTGACGGTGTGACATCACTACAGACACACTACCACAACCAGGGCATGACTGACGGTGTGACATCACTACAGACACACTAACACAACAAGAGCATGACTGACGGTGTGACATCACTACAGACACACTAACACAACCAGGGCATGACTGACGGTGTGACATCACTACAGACACACTATCACAACAAGAGCATGACTGACGGTGTGACATCACTACAGACACACTAACACAACAAGAGGACGACTGACGGTGTGACATCACTACAGACACACTAACACAACCAGGGCATGACTGACAGTGTGACATCACTAGAGACACACTAACACAAGCAGGGCATGACTGAGAGTGTGACATCATTACAGACACACTAACACAACCAGGGCATGACTGACAGTGTGACATGATTAGAGACACACTAACACAACCAGGTCATGACTGACGGTGTGACATCACTACAGGCACACTAACACAACCAGGTCATGACTGACAGTGTGACATCACTACAGACACACTAACACAACCAGGGCATGACTGACGGTGTGACATCACTACAGGCACACTAACACAACAAGAGCACGACTGACAGTGTGACATCACTACAGACACACTAACACAACCAGGGCATGACTGACGGTGTGACATCACTAGAGACACACTAACACAACCAGGGCATGACTGACGGTGTGACATCACTACAGGCACACTAACACAACCAGGTCATGACTGACAGTGTGACATCACTACAGGCACACTTACACAACCAGGTCATGACTGACGGTGTGACATCACTACAGACACACTAACACAACCAGGTCATGACTGACGGTGTGACATCACTACAGACACACTAACACAACCAGGTCATGACTGACGGTGTGACATCACTACAGACACACTACCACAACCAGGGCATGACTGACAGTGTGACATCACTAGAGACACACTAACACAACCAGGGTATGACTGACGGTGTGACATCACTACAGACACACTAACACAACAAGAGCATGACTGACGGTGTGACATCACTACAGACACACAAACACAACAAGAGCATGACTGACAGTGTGACATCACTACATACACACTACCACACCCAGGGCATGACTGACGGTGTGACATCACTACAGACACACTACCACAACCAGGGCATGACTGACGGTGTGACATCACTAGAGACACACTACCACAACCAGGGTATGACTGACGGTGTGACATCACTACAGACACACTAACACAACAAGAGCATGACTGACGGTGTGACATCACTACAGACACACTAACAAAACAAGAGCATGACTGACGGTGTGACATCACTACAGACACACTAACACAACCAGGGTATGACTGACGGTGTGACATCACTACAGACACACTAACACAACCAGGGTATGACTGACAGTGTGACATCACTACAGACACACTAACACAGCAAGAGCATGACTGACGGTGTGACATCACTACAGACACACTAACACAACCAGGGCATGACTGACAGTGTGACATCACTACAGACACACTAACACAACCAGGGCATGACTGACAGTGTGACATCACTAGAAACACACTAACACAACCAGGTCATGACTGACGGTGTGACATCACTACACACACACTAACACAACCAGGGCATGACTGACAGTGTGACATCACTAGAAACACACTAACACAACCAGGTCATGACTGACAGTGTGACATCACTACAGACACACTAACACAACCAGGGCATGACTGATGGTGTGACATCACTACAGACACACTAACACAACCAGGGCATGACTGACAGTGTGACATCACTACAGACACACTAACACAACCAGGGCATGACTGACAGTGTGACATCACTAGAAACACACTAACACAACCAGGGCATGACTGACAGTGTGACATCACTACAGACACACTAACAGAACCAGGGCATGACTGACAGTGTGACATCACTAGAAACACACTAACACAACCAGGTCATGACTGACAGTGTGACATCACTACAGACACACTAACACAACCAGGGCATGACTGATGGTGTGACATCACTACAGACACACTAACACAACCAGGGCATGACTGACGGTGTGACATCACTAC